TTTTTTTTTTCCCCCCCGACAGTCTCACTGTGTTGCCCTCAGTAGAGTGCTGTTATGTCACAGCTCACAGCAACCTCAAACTCTTGGTCTTAAGTGATTCTCTAGCCTCAGCCTCCCAAGTAGCTGGGACTACAGGCACCTGCCACAATGCCTGGCTATTTTTGTTGTTGTTGTTGTAGTTGTCGTTGTTTAGCAGGCCTGGGCTGGGTTTGAACCCACCAGCCTTGGTGTATGTGGCCATTGCCCTAACCACTGAGCTATGGACACCAAGCCCCAGAACTAAGATTCTAATGCAGGTTTAAACTCCTGAATCTAGAAAAATTCATTTTAAACCATTTAAACAATAAAATAGCTTACTGGAAAGTTCAAAAGTAGTACAGCTTCAGAATTAATTTAATATAAAAATTCACTATTAGAGCCGTGGTTGTGTTTTCTCTGTAAATCTTTTTCTCTCTCCTCTGCTGTGTCCTTGTTATCCTCAGGCTGGCTTCGCTCGCGTAGTCAGATAATTTTCTTAAGCTCTTAGGCTTATATATGTATTTATTCACATTCAGGGGATAAGAGATAGTGCCTCCTTTCTCAGTCATTGAACAAATCTTCTGAGCTTTGGGTCGGAATAATGGTTATTCTTGGAGTGAAGATACTGACTAGGAAGAGGCATGACGACCCTGGAGTGCTGGAATGTTTTATATAACATTATAACATTGATCTGCATGGTGGATACCCAGATATATATACATGTTAAAATTTAACAAACTATACACTTAAGATTAGGGTATTAAAGGTATGTAAGTCAAACCACACACACAATCTAATTGAACCAAGAAGTTAGGTCATAAGGTCACATACTCACTCCTGACCAGTTATAGAGGTAAGGTGGATGTGATTCAAAGCTTTCTCCTGGAACTGGAGATGGGGTCACACTCAACCTCAAGTAAGGGCTGCTGCCGGAGTGGGGAGGGGACGAATGGATGAAAAAGGGGCAACTATAAGTCCTCCATCTTAGTCATAACCTAAGCATATGTCTGGCCAAAAGGCCAAGATAGGGAAAAGGAAAATGAATTACATGTCCAGGATAGGAAAATCCCTGGAGAAGGAAAGTAGATTAGTGATTGCCAGGGATTTGGGGGGCTAGGAATTGGGACTAGTATGCAGTTTCTTTTTGAGGTGATGGAAATGTTTTGGAATTACTGGTTGATAGTTCTACAGTATAACAAATATACTAAAAAACACTGAATTGCATATTTATGGTGAATTTTGTGTGAATTATATCCCAGTTTTTAAAATGAAATAAAGATTATCTAAAACTAAGAAACATTATATTTCAAGGAGAATTATTTTAGTCATTCCTCATAAAATGAAGAACAAAAGAAAAATATTTTAAAAATAAATTTCTAGTCTGAGCAAGAGTGAGACTCTGTCTCTACTAAAAATAGAAAAACTAGGCCGGGTACAGTAGCTCGTGCCTGTAATCTTAGCACTCTGGGAGGCCAAGCTGTGTGGATTGCTTGAGCTCACAGGTTTGAGACCAGCTTGAGCCAAAGCAAGACCCTTGTCTCTAAAAATAGCCAGACATTATAGTGGGCACCTGTAGTCCCAGTTACTCAGGAGACTGAGGCAAGGGAATCGCTCAAGCCCGAGAGTTTGAGGTTGCTGTGAGCTGTGACGCCACGACACTCTACCCAGGACAACTGAGCAAGACTGTCTCAAAACAAAAACAAAAATCACTTAAATATATAACATTGTAACATTATAGTAGAAAATCCTCCCTGTCACAAGAAATGTGGCATAAATATTTGGAAAGAACTTAAAATACTATTTTTAGGCACAACTGTGTACCCAAAGGAATCAACTAGAATTAGAGATAACAAATGATTTCCATTTTATACTATCAGAAGAAAAGAGGGTTGGAGACATGGAGACAGAAACCTGGGAAACTTCCTTCCTAAGAGGGGGAAGTAGAGTCTGTAAAGGAGCATGAGAAGGAATAGCTGAAGAGGCAGAAAGATAATCATTCCACAGCACTGTCCCCAGAGTCAAGACAGAATTTCTTTTTTTTTTTTTTTTTTTTGAGACAGAGCCTCAAGCTGTCCCCCTGGGTAGAGTGCCGTGGCATTATAGCTCACAGCAACCTCCAACTC